GCTGCCCGAAATGGCCGCTCCCGCCCTGCCATTTGGTAAGAGCCGTCTCAGCCCACCAGCCTGCTTGCTGCTTTGTGTTTAACGTTCTCCAGCCATTGGGAAGCTGTAGCTGCATCCATGGTGTGCGCTGGATGAGGGAAGAGTCCAAAGGGTAGAGCGGTATGTAATAAACATCCTAAATGAATCAAGTGAATCATCATCTACCCTCCCAGGCATCCTCAACGCACCTGAAGAGCTCACGTAGCAAGCATCTAAAAAGATAAGGAAATTAATTTAGCACTTATATACATGGCCTAACATTTTAAAGTACAGTTCTGAAACTGTTACAGTAGACAGAGGTAGGCCACATGAAAATACTTAACACAGATTTTTTTCCACAGCAGTAACTGACTTGAAAGAGGGTAAAAATTTTATCGGTTTCAAAAAATTCTGATAGATGCAACCAAAACTTCCTGCTGTGCTTTCAGATGAACAATTCTAGCATAAAAATGGCATCTTATGCACAATACTCAGGTTATCTTCATATTTCTAGTGTCACATTTATTTTTAAGAAACTATAGTGCATGTCTTATTCCAAATGATGCATATGCTGGGAAGCTTAATCTTAAGAGATGCAATGTCTACTTAATAACTATATGAATACAACTCCTTTGGAAACTAATGTGAGTTAGCTGAATGTTATATTCATGACAGCATCCTTTCACTTGCTCATGAAAAGCTATTGGATGGATCTGCTCTAAATTAAATCCTGTAATTATCAGAATATAACACTGGTCTCTATAACACTGAAAACTGCTGTATCAAAAAAGATGCACAGTTAAATATATTCTGTAATGGCATGATTTAATATATTAAAACATTAAAATATTTAAAATATTAAAATATTTTAAAATATTTAAACATAAAGTTCAGAGTTATATGATTTTTATAGCTTCATTTCATCAATGTTGGTTAGGGATTTAGTGAAAAGAAGGGCTAACAATCGTTTGCACAGCAGCCTGATAGCTCAGATACACCATTACCAACCTGAATACCCAAACACAAGAAGAATTTCCGAGAAATAGCACAAACTTTCTGTGTTTCTTTTGGTATAGAAAGCAGCTACTCATAAAGGCTGGAGAACCATATTATTCTGCCTCACCCAAATCCATGTTTATTATTAAGTGCCATCTGTGATCCGTAACAGACCGTAAGAACTAAGAGTATTGTAAGTCATGATTACAGAACTCTGTAGCCTTTTTAGAAGGAAGGTAAAGTATTCTCACTATTATTTCATTGATGGCTGGGATCTCAGTTGCTAACACTTGCATCATTGTGAAGAATTACCCCACTACAGTCCCTAGCTGCAGCCTTCTTCAAGCTAGAAAGCTTTATTAAGAATGAATCCTCGTATTCATGGCCCATTTCCAGAGTGCTATAGCAACACTTTTGTCCTCTGGGACAAGGTTTCCAATAGATTTTTCTGTCTGGAAAAGCAACTGCTAACTCCGCACACCAAAAATCAATATAGAGTTCAGTGTTTCTTGATGTCCTCGTCCACGCAGACACAATGTCCTCCAAACTCAAAGAAGAACTTGCACAAATTACAGAGTTCAGTTCAGCAACATTAATGAACAAAACCTGCTAGTCCTTGCTTTTTTTTCAGTCAGCATTATCGAGTGCTCTGGAAGCGCTCTGCATGTCTCTCTGCCCTAATCTATCAGTAATATATCAGACAACTAGGCTATTGCAGCAACTTGCTAAATAAAGAGGATTGTGAGTAAGAATTCATGCATCATGAAATAGGTAAGAGAGTTTCTCAGAAATACCCACAGTTGTTAGCATCAAGAGCTACTGTGGGATAACTATTTACATTTGACTCCTAAATAACACAAGTGCTAGGGGTAGAATTGGAAGACACAGTCTTAAAGGAAAGCTTCCTCAGGAAAGTTGAAACATGCAAGTTCTCGATCGTCCACTTGAGTACTGCCCAGGCTACTTACAAGAAGTACAATTGCATCTTCAATGAGAAGAGAGGATTATGCCTTTTACTAATCCTTATTGCTCAAGGTTTTGACCTTTTGCATGGTGGAGGTCTTCATAAAAAACAGACATTTCAGCAATGCCTTCAGACTGTTGGAAAATTGTGGAAGCTACTTCTACTGAAGTGTCCTATTTCTGCCTAGTTTTTTCAATGGTTTCAGATGCATTCCACATTTTAAAGGATGGACTTTTTGGCATTTCTGGAAAAAGGGTTCCTCCTTGAGTTTTATTGCAGCTTGTGGCACTTGTGTGCTTCTCTCCACAGCTAAGGAAAATGTGGGGGGGGGGAGGGGGGGAGATGTCAGATTTTTTTTTTGAAAAAAAACCTGTTATAGTACACTAATGAAAAATGGGGCAAAATAACATCTCAAGAAGAAAGACAGAAATTGCTGCAGAAGCAATAGTGTCACTATGTTTCCTTAAACCATTCATCAATCTGCTCAGCATTCCTTCTTGAAAGAAAAGAGATTTATTCAATGTTATTAAGCAGTATCCAATAAATTTATTAAAAGATACATATTTTTAAATTCACAAGACACTGTTACTTCATAATTCCTGTTTGGTCAGTGTGTAATATATAAGGTTGGAAAGAAGTCTACATAACCCCTTAGCATATGGTGTCTTCAACACACATCGTAAATGTTAGTGAGATGACTGCTGCCAAGTAGCCATGTGATCTCGACCCGCCAGCTTTTCCTAGGGCTGGGATTTTGTTTATGCAACAATAGTATTGGGCTGCAAGTCGGATTCTTGTCCCAGAGTTTATTCACCTCACCTTTGCTACTTTTGTGACACAAAAAGAAGAGGTTTGCTTATTATGTACCCAAGAAACTTACCTCAGAGAGAAAAATGAAGTCATTTTTTAAGTTTCAGTTATTCTTTGGCTCCTTAGCTACTCTTCCTCTGCATACTGAACAAATGATGTCAAAAGTTATAATGTACCCTGTCCTTTTTAAAGGAAAAGCTAAAAGCAGAGTTACAGATACAGCAAATGCCAGTAACCCGTTTGTGCTTCTTTTTCTCCCATTATAAAACTAGGAATCGGTTTACTTGCCCCTGCTTTTCTTTAGTACATTTGAAACAGACAAAAAAAGTGGGAATACAATTACGAGTGTTTCACTGTGCTATGTTAAGCCAGTATTTGAATTACTGCCTACAGTGAACTCCTGCAAGCTAAGGGAATGGTCCTACAGCCCTCATTACTGAGTGCACTATTTATTCACACAACTGTTTTAGTGTCAGTTATAGCATTCTTTGCACAAGCAAGAACTATGCAAAATGAGTAAAAGCTGGAGAATGAAGTCCTGCATGAAAAAATGTTGAATTAATGTGCAAGTGCCATATGTTTTAAAGATATTCAGAAGTGTTCCTTGAGGCAACAGTGAAGGAACTGTCAAAAGAATTTGAAAATATGTGAACACCTGTGAAGCATAAACTGGTAGCATAACATCTAATTTCATCCTAAAGGTATCAAGATTTTTCTTGGAATTATTTACAATTTAGCTTCAAATAGCTAGCAACAGTTCTATCAATTAGCAAATCTAACAGCAAATTATCTATATTTTTCATAAATGTGTTACTGCAAAGAACTTTAATGGCTTCTATAAAATTCAGAAATATTTCAGTGCTTTCATGAAACCATGGAATTTCCTGTATATAAAATGTGTAAGTTCATCAAGAAGGCAACTCAAGCCACCTAAATGTTTTTGATCTCCTAACTAGTTGTCAATGCACAACACTGAGGACTATTTAGAAGATGCAGAGGAAAGGAAACAAAAACACCCTAAAGCTTAGACACAGTCATAAGCAGAAACGCTCTTCCAGTTCGTTAATTATTTTTTCTCATAATGAAAATAATCTCACAACGTTCTTGCTGGAGCTGTGGAGAGTTGTTCCATTTCTTCAAACAAAACCCTAAAAGTCTGCCAGAGGAATACAGTTGCTATGGCTGAAGACGCATACACTGGACTCTTAGAACCAGTCAATTGTATGTGGCTTGCAAACATTTCTAGGGTTTCAGGCAAAACTCTTCCTTCTCCTCTGATCTCTTTGTTCTCATTGAGATACTCTAGGGTCAAGATTTTTCGCCGGTGCCTTTGCATCATCTTGACTGAGTGAACCACTTCGATATACGCCAACCAGAAAAATCACTCTATAAAACTACAGGGATTGTGCAGTGAATGAAGTATGTCAACTAACTGATCCTCAAATTTGTCTTTCATCTATGGAAGTACTCTGCCACAAGTGAACATATTTGTTAACACCAACATAAGTCATTTAAAACATACTTTATAAGGCAATGCTTTCAATTCCAGTCAGCAACTGAAAGGACTTTTTAGATCAACTATATTGGTTTAAATTGTCTTTGACAAGAAACACTGCCTAGGAAGTGAGAAGTTGCATTCTACATTTGAAACAAGGTTTGGAAAAATAACTAAGGAGGCAAATGTGTCTTCACAGCAAAAGATACCTTAATTTTTTCT